CATGACCCCTTTGTCTCACACAACAGGAAGTGACTTAAATATGACTCCAGCATTCATGAGATTGTTGAAGACCACTTTCTCAGTATCTAAAGGCTAAAACACCCAACTTTTACCTTTGAGACCCTTTATTAAAAATACAAAGTTGGCTCGAGAATGACTGAGACCTGTTTGGCCAAATGTGGGTGTATGGAGATACAGTCATGACCCCTTTGTCTCACACAACAGGAAGTGACTTAAATATGACTCCAGCATTCATGAGATTGTTGAAGACCACTTTCTCAGTATCTAAAGGCTAAAACACTCAACTTTTGTCTTCCAGACCTTTTCAAAGACTTCAAACAAACATGCATTCTTCCTCAAAAACGTATATGTATTCAAGAACATTTATTCTGTCCTCAAGGACGTGGCACTTGGATATCCTGTCCTCCTGACTGAGTCTTTAATCAGTTAGGGACAGGTCCATACATTTCACATGAGTTTGAGTAAAGAGGTTGAGAAAAACTCTGAACAAACATGAAATCATCAAAAACATGATTAGGAACTTTACTGTGTCCCAATGGATGTGGCTCTTGGACATCCTGTTCACCTTTGAGACCTACTCTGAACTATTTTGAGGTAAAGGTTCACATATGAACCGGCCTTACAATTATGTTAACACTGAACACAGAACTTTAAGGGATTCTTCCTTGGACGTTTCTCCTCTGGAGGACATGGCTCCTAAAAGGATGCAAAAAATGTTTTTTTCCCAATATATCTGTAATGTAGTAAGCAACCCTAAAATGTCCTTTATACTGCTCACCTTGCTGGCGTGACTTCCTCATGGGATGCATTATTTTCATTTTCTGTGTGCAAGAAACATGGCTCCTTAAGATGGGGAACACGTTGATATTGGTTCATGTATGACTTGGTTTCATGCACACAAGATCAAACCAGTTTACGTCCACTCACCTGTCCTTCACATCAACCTCGTCTCTTTTTCCCATCGATCCATTGTCCTCTGATTTTTCTATCTGTGAGGAGCCCAAATCCTAAAGAGGAGATTTTGTGATTTAGAGGTCATGGACAGAAATCCTTTAAAAACTAACTGTACTGTCTGTACACATCACTAAACCAAGCTTAATACTCCTCACCTTAGCTTCAACACAGGCTGTCAGACCCTCCTCAATAGATGCATTCTTCTCATTGTCCTCTGCAGAGGAGGACAGCACCTGGAGACATATCATGAGATTTTTTTTTTTATTTAAGGGACAGATAGATTGATGTTGGGTTTTTACTCACACTCTAAATGTTAAGATGGTCCTGTTATTCAACAGAATTATATTCAAAGGTTTCCAGCTGCCACACTATGAAATTTATACTCCAGAGTTTACAGTTATACACAGCATCCTAAACAGCATGCAGTTAATCATAAAACAGAGACATGAATATCTGACAGCTACTCACAGGGTCGGTAGTCTCCATTCTCTAATACGGGTCGTCTTCTTCCTCACACCTGAGCTGCAATGATGAGCGCAGGATGAAAGAATATTCTAACTGTTGGCACAAAAGACCCTTACATGTGCAGATTTCTTTAGTTGAACCTTCCTCACATGTTCTATTCTTATAAACTAACTATAACTAAAAACTAAACTAACTATAATTAAAAATATTATTTACATGTCATATGGTGTTGATTACAAGAATGTGAGATTGTTTAAATTACCCTTTCTCCTGTGATGTAAAGAAAATAAAGCCTACAAATATCACTTTTGAAAAAGTTCCACAAAATCGACCCCTGTTAAATATGGAGAGACAGCTTTACAGTAAGTTGGGTTCATAATTGCCACAGCTCTATAATATTACAGTAGTGTGCTACTTAATAGCAGAATACATTGTATCAGACTTTTTACAAGTTTTAATATTTTACTGCAAAAGTGGGTCCTCAGTTATTACTATACAGAAAAAATGGACAGATTCACTCGCAGAACTTTTACCTCCACCTCCGCCAATCATAGCTCAGAGATTTCAAACTAAAATAAAACTTTATCTACAAAAGAGACCAAAATGGGCCACAAATCCACATCTGAACAGCATTTTAGCAAGAAAAAGTGTAAAAGTGTGGTGTAATTGTGCAGCATTACAGCAATGTAACAGGAAAAGGAAACAGAAAGTGGGCTACAAACCAGAAATCGGCTCTTACCTGGAGAAGAGCTGAAACCTTTCAAACCCTGTGCAGATTTAGCAGAACACAAAGCAGGATGATGCAGGAACCTTGAAGCCAGTTCAGAAAAGTAAAGAAAGTCCACAACATCACCAACACACTGGAGCAGCCAATCAGTGCAGTCATTAACTTTTCAGCCAATCAGAGCAAAAGTTCAGGAAGAATCATGGACAGAGGTGTTGCAGCAACCAGCAATCGTGTAAAATCCAAAAATACTGACATGTTGGATATCTGTGCAGTCTGGGCAATGAATGCCTGCTTGTTGTTTTTGT